TCCTGGGTACTAGTCTGAAAACACGCATTCAACAGCTCATAACTCAAGAAGAACTTGAAAAACCCGGGTAACCGTTTAAATGTCTTATATGTAGTTTTTTGCAAGCTTTCAAATGATGCAAGTCAAATGTATTAGAAATGTATAAGAAATTTCAAATTTTTTAACTGTAATAGAGTTTTATACAACATTCGAAGAAAAACGTGTCGGCAGGAGCCAACAAGAAATTTTAACGCGGCCAACATACAGAAACGTACTAACTAGCCTTCAGGGCACAATATGAAGGCAAAATGAAATTGTCCCACGATATCGTAAGTTTTTTCCTTCTATCTGCCCGACTATATACGTAGACTTTAGAATCTATATGTGCCCCATGACCCTGTGACGAGCCTTAACACTTAAATTAAAATATTTCAAATGCAATTTGAGACAGTTTATAATTTGAAGATAGTCGCTTTCTGCCCCCAACCGATTTTCTTTACGCTTTGGCGAACTTAGTACTGTGATTTACAAATGAAGTGAATATAATAATTAAACATATGCGTAATAAACTCAAGAATGACTATTTTTCTGGTTTTTAATTTGCGATAATCGACTTCCGAAGTTCACGTTCTACTTCTACCGAGGAAGTCAGTAGGGAGTTTAAGCTTAATTCACGTTTCCAGGAACGGCAAACGGCAGGTTCTAATTTTCTTGTCAAAATTTCCGTTGAACGTTTTCGTTTCATATTTTCTTTCTTGTGTCGAAACAATAATTAGGTATTTCAGTTTTAAAACAGCAAGTTAATTAATTTACTCTTTATTGCCTGATATACCGTAAATTTTTCTTTGCCTGCCATTTGCCGTATGACGTATAACGCGAAGCTTAAACTCTCTAATATCTCATGACGTTGACACACAATATAACTCACAAAGTAACTCGATCGTTGCCGTAAATTATAATGACTAGAACATACTAGTTTGAAATATGAAGCCTTTATAGCGAAGCCTTGGCTGGCTTGCTAGTCAGTAAAACGTAGAATCTAGAATATTGATTACTTGAGTACTTCAAATATTTCACACTCAGTTTGATATCCAACATGAGATATATAAAATAGCAAACAGAGGTTATTTCTGCCTCAAATAAATTCAACGGAAATTTTTACCTATATTTTTATACAATCGCGGTTCGAGGTATGCTAGAGTACATCTTCGTATATAAATCCCCATTTAATCCACGAGCATTTAATTATATACAGTTGAATATAACCGCTTCTCAATGTAATGATGTATAAAATGTATAAGGCCTTACGTGTCCGAGTATAGTTCAATAAGTCTTCAATAAATTAATACAGTATATTACCATAATAAAGAGTTATGTGCATGATACCGCTCTCGTCGGTCGAGTATTTCTACAGTGGAACCGAACAACAGCAGTTTTAGACTGTAGTATTATACTATTATATATATACTAACTTGACGTCCATGTTTCAGAGATCATATTTCCACTTCATTCAGTTCAAATCTCACTTTGGAAACAACTTGAAAACTTTTCTTTGATTTTATTGATGTTATCGAGTTCGTTTTCCCTCTTTTACCGAATAATTTGCTTTTGTCGTTTTTAGTCGCATCAACATCGTCATTTTGTTGTGAGCGAAAAATGTTTACTTCAACATCGTCCTGGGTAGAACTAGGGCGAACTTTATTCTTTCTTTGTGATCGTCGTAAAAATACAAACCATATACAACAAAGACCAAAACTAATCCCGATAATAAATGACGTAATTACTAACACAATGACGGTAGTGGTAGGATGATGGTCATCACTTTTGTCTGAACCAGAATGAACAGTTGGTGTCGCTCCTGTTGTTGCTGTTGTCTTTAATGTTCCCGTTGTCTCTTCCGTTTTTATCATCTCTGTTGTTCCTCTTGTCTTGCCTGTTTTAGAATGAACAGTTGGTGTCGTTCCTGTTGTTGCTGTTGTCTTTAATTTTCCCGTTGTCTCTTCCGTTTCTATCATCTTTGTTGTTCTTCTTGTCTTGCCTGTTTTAGAATGAACAGTTGGTGTCGTTCCTGTTGTCGCTGTTGTCTTTAATGTTCCCGTTATCTCTTCCGTTTTTATCATCTCTGTTGTTCCTCTTGTCTTGCCTGTTTTAGAATGAACAGTTGGTGTCGTTCCTGTTGTTGCTGTTGTCTTTAATTTTCCCGTTGTCTCTTCCGTTTCTATCATCTTTGTTGTTCTTCTTGTCTTGCCTGTTTTAGAATGAACAGTTGGTGTCGTTCCTGTTGTCGCTGTTGTCTTTAATGTTCCCGTTATCTCTTCCGTTTTTATCATCTCTGTTGTTCCTCTTGTCTTGCCTGTTTTAGAATGAACAGTTGGTGTCGTTCCTGTTGTTGCTGTTGTCTTTAATTTTCCCGTTGTCTCTTCCGTTTCTATCATCTTTGTTGTTCTTCTTGTCTTGCCTGTTTTAGAATGAACAGTTGGTGTCGTTCCTGTTGTCGCTGTTGTCTTTAATGTTCCCGTTATCTCTTCCGTTTTTATCATCTCTGTTGTTCCTCTTGTCTTGCCTGTTTTAGAATGAACAGTTGGTGTCGTTCCTGTTGTTGCTGTTGTCTTTAATTTTCCCGTTGTCTCTTCCGTTTCTATCATCTTTGTTGTTCTTCTTGTCTTGCCTGTTTTAGAATGAACAGTTGGTGTCGTTCCTGTTGTCGCTGTTGTCTTTAATGTTCCCGTTATCTCTTCCGTTTTTATCATCTCTGTTGTTCCTCTTGTCTTGCCTGTTTTAGAATGAACAGTTGGTGTCGTTCCTGTTGTTGCTGTTGTCTTTAATTTTCCCGTTGTCTCTTCCGTTTCTATCATCTTTGTTGTTCTTCTTGTCTTGCCTGTTTTAGAATGAACAGTTGGTGTCGTTCCTGTTGTCGCTGTTGTCTTTAATGTTCCCGTTATCTCTTCCGTTTTTATCATCTCTGTTGTTCCTCTTGTCTTGCCTGTTTTAGAATGAACAGTTGGTGTCGTTCCTGTTGTTGCTGTTGTCTTTAATTTTCCCGTTGTCTCTTCCGTTTCTATCATCTTTGTTGTTCTTCTTGTCTTGCCTGTTTTAGAATGAACAGTTGGTGTCGTTCCTGTTGTCGCTGTTGTCTTTAATGTTCCTGTTATCTCTTCCGTTTTTATCATCTCTGTTGTTCCTCTTGTCTTGCCTGTTTCTGTGATCTGTGCCCTCTCTGTTGTCTTTGCTTCAACAATAAGATTTTAAAAAATAACTTTACATACAGGTGCGATAGAGTGTTAAAATGGATATTTGTGAAACAGCTAGTATATTGAGTATATTTTTCAATTTAATTTTCGATTTTTACAATTTTCAGCGATCTGTACATTTATATCTAGGGTGGCATTTCCAATAAAATGCATTGCTACATGACTCTGTAGCTCAGTGATCAGAGCGCTCCACCGGAATCGCAGGCCAGCAGGTTTGATTCTAAATATCATTTCTTGATATTTCTTGATAAATATCGTTTCTTGATATTTATCTACAATATCACATTAAACGAAGGCTGTAAAATGCATGCCTGCAGGTTGTACTATTACGCTCCTGAACTTCGGTGTTGTTGGACACTCCGTGGAGCTGCTAATGAGCAATGCCTAATGGGTGTCTATTAGCGATAATGCAAAGCTCACTTCCCTTGTGATCGTTTGAGCACTCTGGCCCCATTATACACTCTGCGCATGTCCAGATGCGTTGATGCCGTCGAGTCGTACCATATGTTTGGTCTAGAGCAAGCTCGTGTGTATAAATACGATGATATCATGAATCTTAACGTGTACCAAGCTGCAGTGATGAGGCGTAGAACGCCGAAACATGCATGTGAATTCAATGGAGGTACGTGCATGAAATTCAACTAACATTTCTATGGTATATGTTATTTCATGCACATGGATATAAATGTTCAAATCGCGAAATTTGTCTTACCAGCGAGACAGAAAGATCCATTTCCAAAATATCCATCAAAACATGAACAATGATATGATCCTGGAGTGTTTGTACAACTGGCATTCTCATGACATGGCATGACTTCACACTCATCATAATCTGTTTAAATATATTGCATAGTAAATGTAAAAGCAAATAGCCCATGTAACAATTAATATAAACTGCTATTGACGAAATGCAGCTTTTGACCTCAATATAACCTTAATCTGAACGATAATCTTGCAGTCAAACGATTTCAGAAAACAATCTTTCTTTGCCTTTGGATTAAAAAGTATTTCTCAAGATAAATTATCTGAACATAAATATGCGAGTATTAACTTATAACCAAGTAAAACGTTTAAAGGTGATCTACAGTCCGTATGTAAACAAAGCCTTTGTTTACATTTTTGTGTCCAAAATATTGAGCTTTATTCGACAACTATTTATATTT